GCCGAGTTTCTCTACGACCCTCGATCTGATTATGTTCGCTTAGCTACCTGGAACCACTAAAACATGTTTAACTTGAATTTTATTTAAAATGATAGAGATTACCAGGGCATTGTTGTGAGGTAGAGATACGCCTTTTGCTTCCTCGTCACGGAATGATAAGACGTCCTCGGGCACATAGCTCCGAGTCCATTTTTCTCTGGTGATTGATACTTTGGTGCGTTTGAATACAGGTCGTTGAGGAGGGACATCGACTCTGCCAATGATCATGTGGATTACATGTTGTGGTTCTTCTTGCTTATTTTTCCTTGCATCTCTCTCCCTGAAGTGGTTCTTAGCCTGATCACTTAGGAATTCTTGAAGGTGGCCTTCGTTGAACAACCGAACCACTTCTTCCCTTAGCTGCCTACAATCTTCTATTCTAGGACCATGTGTGCCATGATACTTGCACATCAAGTTCGGGTTTCTTTGAGAAGGATCAGTCTGTATAGGCCTGGGCATCTTGGTGTCTTTGATTCTTCCAATAGCTAACACAATCCCTGTTGTATCTACGCTGAAGTTGTACTCCGATAATCGAGGTGCCTCTGCGTCATTGGTATGCTTATCAAATCCGCTTTTACTCATGAGTTCCCGAGAACTTTGACCTCGATCATTTCTCCGATCATTTCGAGGAGCGTTTTGACCCGAGCCATTGTTCCTTCGACCGACATATGGCTGATACCACTCCTTGTTCAATCTCGATTCCCTATCCGTATCCCTCAGCGGCTTGGCCGCGAATATGTTAGGATGAACTGAACCCGAGGGGGCTCCCAACTGGTCGTCCTCGACCCGATTTTTTGACTGGTAACGATTGTGCACGTCTAACCATGTCACAGCTGGATTTTCGATCAAGTTCTGTTTAACTGCTGGGATGCAATCGAACTTCGTTCGTTCAAACCCTGCATAAAGGCATGTACTGCCCAGTCATCGGAGACTGACTGTAACTCCATTCTTTCCATCTGAAGCCTGGACACGAACTCCCTTAACATCTCGTCGTTCCTTTGTTTTATCTTGAAAACGTCTGATTTTCTCGTGGCCACCTTTATGGCCCTGGCATGTGCTTTCACGAAGGCATCTGCTAACATAGCAAACGAGTCAATAGAGTTAGGAGCTAAGTTATGGTAGCAAATCATAGCTCCCTTTGATAACGTTTCTCCAAACTTTTTTAACAAGACTGATTTGATCTCAGCGTCATTCAAATCATTTCCTTTGATCCCGCAAGTGTATGAATTAATATGCTCGTTGGGGTCAGTTGTTCCGTTGTATTTGGGTATATTGGGCATGCGAAACCTTTTGGGAATGGGCATTGGTGGCGCGCTCTGAGGGAATGGTTTTTGTATGAACTTTTTAGTGTCTAAACCTTTCAAAACTGGAGGTGCCCCCGGTATCTGGTCTACACGGGAGTTATAAGTTTCCACCTTCTTATCATTGTCTTCAATTTTCTTTTCTCCGTACTCGATCCTTTTGTAAGCTCTTCGAGCATTCTCATAATCGTGGGGTTAGTCCCCGAGCTGCTTTCATCTGGCCTTTCCAGCGTCGGTTTCAGTACGTCGAGAATTTAGTAGTTCGGCTGTATTTGGAGTTTTGTTCTGAATCTAAAGTTGGATGATGGCGCTATGCTGAGCTTGCAGCATCTCGAATATCACTTGGAGGCTGACTCCCCCATCTCCTATTCCCGGTGCTCCTTGGCCCCCTAATCGGGCTTCCCTACATATATTCCCTCCGGGGTTAGCGCCTAGGTCTGTATTCAAGGCAATGTGCGAACTAACATCAACTGGTTCCACTTTTTGCACTTCCCCTAGGTTTATCGGTGGTACACCGACCCCTGCATTGCTGTTTCTCCAAGACCTTTGTTGTCATGAATATGTGCATTTTGTGAGCTAGACATGTTTCAACCTGAGAATCAAAAATTCTTGACAAGAAAAAGTGTAAAAACAACGTGTGTAATGAGAATCAGTAAAGAAATAATCACTATTATCTTTAGCCCCACGGTGGGCGCCAAACTGTTTACCTCGAAAATACTAGTAACAATTAAATTTGATTTGTGGTTTTAAAGATATATGATTTAGTTCAATACCAATTAGTAATCAAAAAATATGAAGTAGAAGTGAAAGAAACAAGTGAATCAAACCAAAGTTACTCAGCTGTAGTGACCTCGAGATGGACTAAGAACAATAAAATAAGAACAGTAAATGTAAAGGATGCTTCTGATGAAGAGTAAGAGAGAAAAATAGGATAGTATATTCTTGTCAATGATAAGGTCATCTTACAAATGACTGAGGTCCCCTTTATATAATAGGGGAACCCCTAAATAAGGTATATTTCTATTTACAGTAAGGAATATTCTTGGTACATCTGTCTAACCGCCTAGTACAGAACAATACAATCCTATTCTGGAATTTGCGCGGTGATCTTGGGGACGTGGCAGGAATATAGCCCATTCTGTTACAAGTCCATAACGGTACTATTCTGGGGTCGAGTACACTCGACCTCGATATGTATCATGCTCTGTTTTCGAACTCGGGTCTGGTCCCCCGAGCTTGAACTCGATCTTGCCTGAAATCGGACTTCGGATAACCCCTCGAGTATATAGATTGAAGGCATACGATCTCGACTGTATACAAGTTCCATGGTGAAGATCAGGGCATATCTCAAGGAGGCCCATCTTTAACTATGACTGAGTGGGTAGTCTAGTTGTGGTATGTATAGATAGTGGTGTCGCTGGTGTTGGATGTGGAAGGCCGTTCATGATGAGTAGGGGGAGATAAAAGAAGTTGTTGTTGGATTGGAGTCTTTCTCAGATATAGGTGTTTCGGCGATTCCCTAGAAAGGTGGACGCTGCATTATGATTAGTATTAGTGTTTGGTAATATAGAAGTGGAGATACAGGAGTTGGGGTATGGACTTGGTAGTTGAGGGTCTTTAGTACTTGATGGGGTAGTCGGTTGTCAGCTTTGTTGCATCATTTTGCTGAGAGTAGATTGGGTAGGGGTGAAAATTTTAGTGGGAGATTCACATGAATATGAATCATGGTGTTCCATAGTAGGGGGAAGCATATGTGTGGGAAATAGAAGAAGTTTGTTGTTTGATGGGTTGAGGGAGAGAGGCTTGCATGGAGACGGCAGAAAGATTTGTAGAGATTGAGTGAGTAGAGTAGGCGTCTGAATTATATGGTGAGGTGTCACGCAGGGTAGTAGTTTGACTAGTTACTTGGCCAGCTGTAGCGCCTAGTTGGTGACGTGTTGAGGTAAGGTAATTTTCGGCATCCATGTTGGAAATAGTGTGTGAAAGTAATTTTTACTATATCTTGAGTACATGTATTTATTATGTGGGCCCCTGGTGCTAAAATAGTGGGTTGGGTATTAACGGGCTGCTATAAGGGAATGTGATGTAGTTGATGTTTGGGTTCAGATGCAAGTGCTTGGACTGGGTTGGAAGATGGAGACACAGTGGAGTTAGCGGTTGGGCTTATAAGACCATCCCTATCAGAAACCAAAGAGGCATCATGGTCGCTTAAAGAAGAAAATGGACTAGCATTAACTAAGTTGAGGCCAGTAGTATCAGGTTTGTGAGAACTACTAGTAAGGGCCCAACTGTAGCCAATAGGGTTACAAGAATTACCTGGCTTTACATGTGGTGCTGATGTGGCCGCAGCCTTAACTTATAGTGCTACTGGACGGTGCACAGGCGAAGGGAAGCATTTGTGTTCTGGTGACTGTCGCCCATTGTAACGACCATTGTATCTTGATTAGAATTTTAAGGAATAGTGACAGTTTTCCATTCCTGTTCAGTGGTAGTCAGAATTTGTTGAGATTAAGATGGATCTAGGGAGGTGATTGGTATATAAGATAAAGGGGGTGTGGGAGTGTATTGACAATTCCAGGTTGCAGTCCAAATCGACCGTATTTAGTGCAAAGAAGATTCAATCCCTCATTCAACAAGACTTGTTTATGAGAACCTATGTGTATGCGAGTTTTGAGTGGTTTTTTTCAATGATACGTCCAGAAGTACACGTATCAACTTTTAGTAGTTGTCCTAGTTTGTTTTCCTTTTTTTCCTTTACTCTGTTTTTGGAGATCATGTGCGGGTTAGCTGAAATATATACAAAGGAAATGTAATTACTCCACCTGTTTCAATTTGGACGAGGTAGTTTGATTTGGTACGGAGTTTAAGAGAAAAGAGGGAGACTTTTGAAATTTGTGATCTTAAAAGCTTAAGGGGTAAAAGTTTTGTGGGGTCATGATATTTGTATGGTTATTAAAGCTTCTCATTAAGGGTAAAATGAGTAAAAATAAAAAGTTTAAAGTTGAATTATTTCCAATTTTAAAGATGTGTCATTCTTTTTGGAACGAACTAACAAGGAAAGTGTGTCATCTAAATTGAAATTGAGGGAGTAAATCATATTTCAGTTCTTTAACTCAATAATAGTAGGTACATTTAAAGGAGTATAACTTTCTCATATGATAGTGGAGGAGAGACAAGTTGAACAAACAATGTGACTTTCTTGTCACGGAGTGTCGTTAAGAAAAGAAGAGGAGGCCTTATTGTGTCCGTTAGTCCTCTATAGTTGTTGAGTTACGTAAAATTTAACGGGAAATAAGAAAGAAAAATTAGGAAAACTTTTATTTAATTTTTAGTAGTACGGAAAACAAAGTGCTAAAGAATAAATAATTTAATTAATGCTATGCTTCCAAGTTCTAATTTTGTTTATTTTCTTCTTTGATAACAATTTTGCAAAGTTGTCACAAGGCAGTAAGAATGTGTAGTGTCAAGTTTTTATGATTAAAGAGGGAGATTCCAAGATACTTGACAAAAGAAACGAATTACAAACTTAACTTTGTACAGAAAAATACTTAACCAACTGTTTCAATCTAGCTAAACATATTCTTGTCGTCTTTGAAATAAATTCACACATCTGCATCTAAATGACCTATTGGTAGTATATGGGAGGACGTGGCAGGTGAGTGTACGAATATTCCCATTTCCTCAATATTCCACGCTTACGTGTCACCTTTCCACGCGTCCCACTTCCACACTTCCTATTTTCTCCATCACCGTCAGTGACTGTTGAGTAATTCGTACACCTGCGCAACACAGAATCGATCTCCTACATCCTCTTTAAAAAATACGCGTGTTTTCGGCGCGCATATGTTTGCTTCAGATTCGTCGCCGATCTTTCCTCTCCGTGTTGTTTTTATTTCATCAAAATAGATTCCTTTTTCCTGCAAAATTTAAATTTTATCACGTCTGCATGTACGGATTATTATACACCCATTTCAAAAGCAAACATTTCTTCTGCAAAAGAAAACTCCACTTTGACTATCTCCTTTATCAACAAAAAAGTTTGCATTTGTTTCCTATTGGGAAATTCTTAGAAGTGTTTTTGTAGTTGATAAGTAACTTTCTTGGGTCCTTTCGTTTATTCATTTTATAAAAGCCTTGTGGATAGGATGTATAGTGGTGGAGGAGGAGGAGGGGAGAGGGGGTATGGATATGAAAATGGTGGGGTGGTGATGACAAGGGACACAAAGCCAAGATTGAGGTGGACTCCTGATCTACATGATCGTTTTGTTGATGCCGTCACTAAGCTTGGTGGACCTGATAGTCAGTCTCACTCTCTTTTTCTTTTCCCATTTAATTTTGTGTTACGAGTAGAATCAAATAAGCTCATGTAGCTTTGAATTAAAGTATATATAGTAGCAATTGTTGTTGATGTTGTTTTTTGAATTTTGTGGTTATTTACTACTCTAATATAATAAAGGGGGTAAATGAGGGGATGTCAGTTAAAACAGTGGGGTGTCACTATAAGTTTTAGTTGCATGTGGTTGTCAATATAATGACATTGATTTCATTGCATATGTTTTTCCATTTGTTGGGAAGTTTTAACTTCTTTTTCTGATGCGTTTTCGGTTGAGTTGTCAATATGTATGCTACTTTCTTGGAGAGAAATGAATTGCAACAAATGAGCCAAACACTATAGACCATACTCATGAGTGGATCGGATTCGCTGTAACTTAATTTAAAACCAAAATCTCGTGGGACTGCCAATGTCCTAAATGGAGTGTACTTACACAGTTTTGCATTCCAAACTTTTACCATTTTTGAATTAATGTTTACATAATCATGCATTTTAAATAAGTTGATTGTTACAGTGTCATGGCTGATTGCGTCTTTAATTTTCTCTCCTCCTTATGTAATTGATAAATGGCTATGTATTGCAGAAGCAACACCCAAATCAGTACTATTAAGGTTAATGGGCTTGAAGGGCTTGACACTATACCATTTGAAGAGTCATTTGCAGGTAGGATTCAGGCTTCTGCATCTCTATTCATCAATTGTTTTGCCCTATCGGAAAACACATTAGGCAGTTTTGTCCATTTTCGTTCTGCAGAAGTATAGACTTGGACAGCAGGCCAAGAAGCAAAATGCAGCAGAACAGAACAGAGAGAATATTGGTAAATTCTGGACGATTTTGAAAACTCTTCATATTTGCTGGCCAGTATTGTAATGCTTGACAATTGTACAAAGTGCTATATTTAACATTTCAGGGGAGTCCTGCGGACAATGCAGGGGTAGGTGCATGGAATATGGCTGTTGGTTATACTAGTCTTTGCACTTGTCTAAAATCTCTCTGTGAGACTAATTAACTTAATTACTCGCCTCTCTAAATATTTCAAACTTTAGTAGTTTGTAGATTTATAAGTGAACGGCATATTGTCAGTTGAACTTTTAAAAATTGGTTCAACTGAAGTTGCCTATATTCGTAATTAAAAACATAATCTATTTGATTTAAAAGAAACCATATTCTTGCTAATAGATGCTTATATCTGAACAGAGAAGTTCCAATCAGCCAGGCACTGATTTCTCAGATTGAAGTCCAGAAAAGATTACATGAGCAGCTTGAGGTATGCATTTAACCTTTTCTCTAGCTGTATTTCTAGTCCTAACGAGCAAAAACCATGCACAACAGACTCTGCTGTAGCTTCAATTGCTAGAAGCATTGATCTGTGAAGTTCTTTTTTTTCTTTTCCCCTTACACCAACCACCCTATCATCCAACTTTAGTTTTTCTGATTTCATACTTATTGGGAAGGGGAGACGCAAGGTAAGGCTGCATGCGATAGACCTCATAGTCCGGCCCTTCCATAGACCACGGTGTACGTATATTGGGAGTTCGACTTCTGTTTTTATATTTATTAGACCTTTGTTTACTTAGTTTCTAGGGAAATTCTTCATTTGGTTATGTCTTAATTTTCTTGTAATGACCTAAATATTGTTTTCTCTAAAGGTTCAACAAAAATTACAAATGAGAATAGAGGCACAGGGCAAGTACTTGCAAGCAATAATGGATAAAGCTCAGAAGAGTCTGTCCACTGATATGAACTCTCCTAGTGCTGTAGAAGCAACAAGAGCTCAGCTTACAAATTTCAATTTAGCTGTGTCAACTTTAATGGATTGCATGCATGGAGACAATCGCGATGAAACCGTTGCAGGTAAAAGGGCACATGATGATACTAATAAAGCTCTACCAATGTCTACATACTTAAATGAGGAGGAACAAAAGAATAATATGAAGATCAAGCTTGAAGAAGCTTCCATTAGCTTTGATCTCAACTCCAGAAGTAGCTATGACTTTATTGGCATGAATTCAGCTACATTGGAAGCCAAACCACTTTCAAATGGAAGATTGGAAATATAATGTCTTACTAGTTTTTTTCTGATCATACAAGGTCTAGAGTTCTGTATTTTACTCAAAAAAGTGCTACAGTATAACTTGTTACATGAGCTCCTGTTCAAGATATATTGTTATTTGTCTATGTAATTAGTGATTTTATTTGTTGTAAGCAAGAGATAATTTGTAGTACAGCGAAATGGTGAGGCTATATTTTTGACATAATATTTGAAACAGCCCACCTATCAGATATAACATACAGAAAATTATTATTTAAATCTTTATCTTAATCTTGGTTAATTTAGTTACTAAATCACGCCAGCTTTAGTTAGAATTATCTTATCTTTTTAGAAGAACTTGCGGATTTAAAATAATGACTCATTTTTGTTTAAGTCCTGGTGCAATCATAATTTTTACGTATTTGTTTGTTTATCATATGTTTAATGTTTTGATGATCGAAAATAGTTTTGTTACAAATTTAAAATTTTCGTGTAATGTCTAAGATTAATTAAATGATCTGTTATGGGCCATATAAGTATTATGCTTATATGTTGTGTGGCCATTTTAAAGCTAATCAACATTGTCACACCTCTTTTTTCTCACACAACCCTATTACGAAGTTGAGTTAGAAGAGTTTTTCTAATTAAAATGACATTATTTGAAAAAAGATTATTTATTTTATTTTAAAGAGTCGCCACTTGGAATAAATATTTACGGTGTCTGAAGTCATCATTTATTTTAAAACCCTAATTCAAGGAAATTGACTCTGTTTAAGTCTGCGAAACACAGAAGACCGGGTAAGGAATTCTGTTAACCCGGGAGAAGGTGTAAGGCACTCCCGAATTTTGTAGTTCTAGCATGGTCGCTTTAATAATAATACCTGGCTTAATTAATTCTGGATATTTTATGTTTTAGGGAAATTTATGCACTTTTGCCTTAAAACGCTTATGAACGGTAAGAGCGTAAAAACCCAACTGGTCGTTTTGCTTTTTAGAATCTTGTTACCCTATTTGAGACTTTCTGTATGTGTTCTTTCTATTTTATGACTTGCGGGGACGGGTTAGTTTGGTTCCGGAAGGGCTTGGGTTGAATACGTAATACTTAGTTCGAAATTTGAGTATGACTTAAGTCAACACTTTGAGAAAACGACACCAGAATCGAAATTTGATGGTTCTAATAGGCTCATATGGAGATTTTGGACTTGGGCGTATGTTCAGGTCGAGTTTCGAGCGGTCCTGGAGCGTTTTAGCGCTTATTGTTGAAAGTTTGCATTTTAAAAGTTTTTGAATTTGCTAAGTTTTATTTGGAGCAAACATTGGTGATATCGGATCTCCGTTCGATATTTCGAGCATGGGGACACGTTTGTGTTGTTATATAGGATTTGTGTGTGAAATTTTATTCCATTTCGAGTTGTCTAAGTATGATTCGTCGCGTACATAGATAGCAGAAAGAAGTTGAAAGTTTTGAAAGTCGTTTAGTTTGGTTTGGGGTTCGATTCTTGATTGTGATATTATTTTATGTGTTTTGAAACGTAGAGTAGTTTCGGGTTATGTTTACAAACTTGTTGGTATAATTGGACGAAGCCCCGGGTGGCTCGGGTGAGTTTCGAACTACCCGAAGCATGTTAAAATTGACAGATTTTTGCTGGTGTTGGTGTCCTTCGCGATCATGAAAAACGTCCGGCGACCGCGAAGAATAAAATTTGGAGGGGCAGCTGTTGCTCTTCGCTTATGCAAAGGAGGCCTCGTGGACGCAATGGAGGACCTGGCTCCTCTTTTCGAATGCGGTGGTGACTTCGTGAACACGTATAAGGAAATGAGGATTGGCAGGACTTCGCCTTCACGAATGCAACTGGGAGTCCGCGAACGCGAACGGTTGGGTGTCAGTGGTGTCACGACCCAATTCCATAATAGGCCATGATAACGCCCAACGCCGTTGTTAGGCAAGCCAACACTGATCAAACTAGTGATTTCCCGTTTAAATAAACTTCTAAGTGGATAATAATTCTTCACTCGTTAAAAGATTTAGAAATTTACCATTGAAACAAAATAAAACAGAAGCAACGAGTACAAACCGTAATCATATAACAATACCAAAATCATAAGTCTACTAGTGTGTGTGTCAAGACCTGGTGTCACGAGTATATGGGCAATCTAGTAGAATATAAAAAAGAATATCAGCCTACTGTCTGAATGGAAACAGACAGAAAAATAAAGCATAAGAGAGACTCTACGGAATGGCTCGGAAGGCAGCTCACCGTGAAGTCTCGAGATGGGGATCAATCTACGCACCAGACTGGTAACAAGATGCACCTGCCTTAAATCCTGTACAATTAAGTACAGAAGTGTAGCGTGAGTACATAAATAATATGTACCCCGTAAGTATTTGGTCTAACCTCGAAGAAGTAGTGACGAGGGGTCGACTTTGACACTTACTAGGGCCAATAACATGATATTATGAAATTTCTACTTATGCATGATATACAACTATAAGATTTAGAACTAAAATAATTGAACAAGTATTCACCATATTTAAGAGCTTAAATCACTTCCTTTAAAACATATGATCAAACAACAATGAATCTATACCAATTATAAAACGAACTTCTAGTTCTATTATCACGCATGAATACCATCAAGGACGTTAGGCCCGATCCAATATAAAAGTAAACTGTGCGCTGCCGAGGTGTCGAACGGCGCGAACCATAGATGCATCTATTAAACCTGCCGAGGCGAACGGCCCGCTCCCATGAGAGTAGAAGAAAGCATTACCCCGCTCGCGGAATATTCTTGCGACGCGGTCAAATACAAATTTATCAATAAAACATAACCCTTTCTTGATTTCCTTTCGAAATAAAGACAATGCAACTTAGAGCTTTTAAGCTCCTAAAATCCCAACTTCGTTCCATTTGATAAAATCAACAAGTATAATCAAATAACGGCATCCAAAAGCATGGTGTAAACCTAAAACTACCTGGACATAAACAAGAATAGTAGCTACGTACGGACTTTCATCACTTCGTGCGTACGTACCCTCCATAAATAACCACACATATAGTTAAGTTCACCTATGGGGTAAATTCCCTCTTACAAGGTTAGAAAAGAGACTTATCTCGTCTCAAAGCCTACTTCCCAATTCATGAATGCGCTCAAACCTCCAAATTTGATGTCAAACGACCCAGAACTAGTCAAACATAACATAAATTGATCAATCTATGCTCGAAAGTTCATATCTCCGCTATTAAAGTGATTACCCAACCCTAAATGCAAGATTCCTAGAATTTACCCCGGGCCCACATGCTCGGATTCCGGAAATTTTTGAAGAAAGTTGTTACACATAACCTTAGGAACATAAATATATGATTTTTACTAAGTTCCATAACCAATTTCATGGTCAAATCTCATTTTTACCAAAAACCTAGGTTTTCATCAAAACCCTTGATTTTCACTAATTTTTACATGTTAATTTACCCATAATCTATGTATTTAACTCATGTTGTGTAGAAATTACTTACCTCAAAGTTTTAGGTGAAAACCCTCTTCCAAAAGCTCTAAAAATCGCCCAAGAGATGAAGTGGAATGAAATAAATGGCCTAAGTCCCGCAATAAATGAGCTGTGCACGGGTCTCAGATGTCGTATTTGCGATACCTGGTTCGCAAATGTTATGGTCGCAAATGTGATCAACGCAGAGTCGCAAATGCGACTGTTTCTCTCGCAATTGCGAGCTAGTCCAGACCAGGCTTCATCACAAATGAGAAGCCTTCTCACAAATGCGAGACTCGCAAACGCAAACATATTCTCGCATTTGAGAGACTTGCAACAGCTGCTAAGAACACTAGAAAACTGGAGTGTTTTCCAACTCCTTCCACACGTACGAAACTCACCCAAGCCCTTGGAGCTCCACACCAAACACTCACACCAGTCTAACAACGTCATAAAAACTTTCTTGCGCAATCGGAATACTGAAATAACATCAAAAATCATGAATCGGACGCCAAAACGCATGAATTAACTCATGAAAAAAACTTCTAAAAACACTCCCGCGCGTGTGATTCCTATCAAATCAACTCGGAATGACGCCAAATTTCGTGTGCAAGTCTTCAATGACATTACAAAACTATTTCTGGTCTCGAAATTCCATTTGGACCTCGATATCACCAAAACCGGTCCAAACTAAATTTAAAGAACTTTTAAATTCAAGAATCAACTTTCACTATTAGGCGCCGAAACGCTCCCAGGTCATCCAACCCGATCCGAACATACGCCCAAGTCCGATATCATCATACGAACCTACTGGAACCGTCAAATCCCTATTCCGAGTTCGTTTACTCAAAATATTGACCGAAGTCAAACTTGGCCTTTTAAGCCAACCAAGTGTTTGGATTTCAACCCGAACCCTTCCAAATCCCGAACTAACCATCCCCGTGAGTCATAAATCTGTAAAATCAAGTACCGGAAGTCTCATATAGGGGAACGGGGTTCTAGAAAGAAAAATGATCGGTTGGGTCGTTACATTCTCCACCTCTTAAACAAATGTTCGTCCTCGATCGGGTTTAGATTCATACGTGAAGTGCTGAATAAGAGTGGGTATCTGCTCCGCATGTCCTCCTCGGACTCCCAGGTCGCCTCCTCGACTGGTTGGCCCCTCCACTGGACCTTTACTGCGGAAATCCTCTTGGATCTCAACTAGCTATCCTGCCTAGCAACAATGGCAACTGACTCTTCCTCATAACCCAAGCTCTCATCCAGCTAAATAGTGCTGAAGTCTAACACATGTGAAAAGTCAGCGTAATACCTCTGGAGCATAGACAAGTGAAAAATCGGATGAACCCTTGATAGGCTGGGAGGTAAAGCAAGCTCGTAAGCAACCTCCCCAACTCGCCTCAACACCTCAAACGGGCCTATAAAATTGGGGCTCGACTTTCCCTTCTTCTTGAATCTCATAATACCCTTCATCAGTGAGACTTTCAAGAGAACCTTCTCGCCTACCATATATGATACGTCACGCGCCTTCTGATCCGCGTAACTCTTCTATCCGGACTGTGCTGTGCGAAGTCGCTCCTGAATCAACTTTACCTTTTCCAAGGCATCCCTTACGAAATCAGTACCATATAACTTAGCCTCGCCGGGCTCAAACCACCCAAT